GGCTTCATATGTGGGATCTGAACCGGGGTCCTCTGGCATCCCAAGCCAGTTCTTAACCAACGCGCTACTCGGCCAGCCATTTACTTGCTTTTTTCATTCAGCAATATAGACAACATTCCCATGTGTTTCTATGGACCTACCTAAATTCTTATAATTGTAGGATATTTCCTAGTTTAGGTGTGTCATAATGTATATGGCTATCTCATTCCCATTGGGTGGACATATAGGTTGTTTCTGCTTTCTCACTATTACAGATAATACTGTGGCAAACATTATTGGTTATGAAGCCTTCCACACATTTGTTCTATATGAAAGATTCTTAATAAAATAACTGCTCCAAGAGTTTGTGTCTTTTAAATCTTTAAAGGTTAAATTATTTATTATTAAATTCCTCTCCAAAAAGGAATTTATACTCCCAGGTTCTCCCATTTATCCACCTTCCTTTCCACCACCAGATAGTTTAAAATTTTTCACAAATCTGAAAGGTGAAAAAATAGTATGTATTTTAAATTTTTTATTTTCCTTATTAGCAATGAGATCAAGCACATTTTTATAAGTATTAACTCTGACTTTTTAATGTGGATTAATTACATATTTTGCCAATTTTTCTTACTGAATTATATGAGCTTATATATGGAAATTAACCCATTATTTTATATTTTGCGATTTTCACCCATCTCATTTGTCTTTCTATTTATTGAAGTATAATTGACATATTACATTAGTTTTCAGTGTGTAGCATAATGATTTGATATTTGTATACATTGCCAAATGATCACTACAATAAGTCTAGTTAACATCTGTCACTATACATAGTTACAAAAATATTTTTTTCTTGTGATGAGAACTTTTAATATTTACTCCATTATCTTTGAATTTTATTTATGGCATCTTTTGCCATGGAGAAGTTTTATACTTGTATGTTCTCTTTGTTGTCACTCCTTTATGGTTTCTTTTTTAAAACATTTGATCTTTTCCTTTCCTTGCTTAAAAACAAAACAAAACAAAAAAACCACCTTTGATTGCTTCCTATTGAAAGGCAGTATAATATATAGTGTTTGAGGACATGGAATATGGACATTTTGCTTGATTTGAAACCTGGTTCTGCTCTTGCCTAGCTGTGGGACCCTGCCAGGTCAAGTACCTGTTCTGTGCCTGTTTCCTCAGGGTGATGCTCACTTTGTGGAGTTGTTGGGAGTATTAAATGGGTTAACTCTTTCACTACAATAATTGATTTCTCAAGTTTTCTTTTCAAAATGTCAGAAATCTACAAAAAACAGAAAGTTGATATTTTGACTGTTTTATGCATTTAATAACAATTTGAGCTGCTTTGTATATAAATATTATTTTTATTTAGAAAAATTTCCTATTGTTATTCATTCTTGAAAAACACAAGAAAATATAGAACTATTCATTCGACTATTCTACTGTTGCATGGAAAGGGTTTTAATATGTTGAAGTGTTTAGGACTGTAATGAGCATATAGTATATCCCGAGTAATATTAGCTGCTCGTATTCCTTCTCTCCCTGTCCATTTCTGTTGTGTGCTGCCTACCCTGTTGGCTCCTATGCTCCAGCCACAAGGGCTTTCTCTCAGTCCTTTTCACCTTAGAGCCTTTGTATGTGCTGTTCCCTGGCCTGGAGTATTCTTTCCCTTCACCCCCTTTTGCCTGACTGCTATTTCCCCGTGAGTCTCTGCTTACATACCATTTTGTTCAGTGACCTCTCAGTTTAGGTTAGGTCTGCCGTTAGCTTTTACTAAGTATTCAAAATTTTTGGCTTCATTAGTCTGCCCCCTGTTGAAAACAAGTAGGAACCATGTCTCACTTTATCCTTATCCCACAGAATAGTGGGTGGTAATGAGCTGGTGTTTGCTAAATAAGGGGGGTAGGGGTGGGGGTGGTGAGTTAATTGGTAGGTGGAATGGTAAAGTTTGAATGTTTGGAGCTTGTGGTAGAAAAGTAAACTGAGAGAAGAGAGCATATTTAAGGGATTTAAATCTTACTACCAAGTTTCTATTCAGTTGTTCTATCTGAAAGTATGGGTTTCAGGCCTTACGTTGTATGATATGATTGGGATAACTAGCAGTTATCTCAAATAGGATAGTCATTTTAATAGTTACTAAGACTTTCTCTATGCTTATTATGAAATGGAATTTTAAAATCTGAAAAAGTTCTTATACTTACTTTATAGATTAAAAAGTTGACATAATATGGCCTGTATAAGATTGCATAGTGATCAGTAGAGCTGTAACTATTGGGTTGTTGGAAAAGTCATGACGCATGTTTGCGACAGATGGCACTAGTTCATTTTTGGAAGTACTAGAGTCATTTGCATTTATGTTATTGCTATGTCATTTGACAGCTGACAGTTCTAGCTTCATTCTAAAAAAAAAATTCAGTGATTTGGTTGAGTTTTGGAGATTTTACAAGTTGAAGATGGAAGACCAAGCTGGGCATTTTTGCCATATTTTACTGTTTTACTTCCATAAAGGGAAGAACATGCATCAAGCTTGTGAAGAGTTGCATGAAGTTTACGGTGACAATGCTCTACAAGAACGTCAGTGCCAACGATGGTTCATGAAATTCCATGCTGGTGATTTTGATCTCAACGATGCTCCTCGGTCAGGGAGGCCCACCGAGGTTGATGTTGACAAAATGAAGGCATTGATCGAGTCAGACCCACGTTACATGACATGAGAGATTGCAGAAACATTGAACATCCATCATTCAAGTGTTCATGACCACCTGAAGAAGCTGGGATACATAAGCAAGCGCGATATTTGGGTTCTGCATGAACTCAAAGAAGTTCATTTGACAGCGTGTATGAACATCTGCAATATGCTCATTAAACGTGAGGAAAACGATCCTTTTTTGAAGCGACTGATAACTGGTGATGAGAAGTGGGTTGTTTACAGCAATGTGGTGTGCAAACAGTCTTGGTCCTGACATGATGATTCCCCTCAAACGACATCAAAAGCATACATTCATCAGAGGAAGATTATGCTCTCAGTGGTGGGATTTTAAAGGTGTCATGTTTTTTGAGCTCCTACCAAGGAACCAAACAATCAATTTGAATGTGTACTGTTGGCAACTGGACAGTTTGAATGACTCCATCATCCAGAAATGTCCAGAGCTTGTTAATTGTAAAGGAGTTGTGTTCCATTGCAACAATGTGAGACCACACACAAGTTTGATCACCCGTCAAAAATGGTTGGAGCTTGGATGGGATGTGTTGCCACACTCACCATACTCACCTCACCTTGTGCCATCAGACTTCCACTTGTTTTGCCCTCTTTAAAACTTCTTGCGTGGTATAACGTTCAATTCAGATGAGGCTGTAAATCAGCACCTTATTCAGTTTTTTGCAAATAAAGACATCCTTCTATGAATGAGGAATTATGAAGCTCACTGAAAGATGGCAAAAGGTTATCGAACAAAAAGGGCAATATATCATTGATTGATCTTTGTCCTTTATGTAAATAAATGACCTTTGAAAAACATAGACAAAATAAGTCATGACTTTTCCGACAACCCAATAGAACCTGGGTATCCCTATTACCCATCAGAAGCAGTTGTACTATAGGTAGCTTATACCTCTTCAAGGGGTATATTAAAATTTAAGCTAAGCTTTTCTTAAAGTTCTCTTATGAAAATTGATTCCTGGGGGCTCTAATACACACTCAAAATCTTTTTGAGAGGTATAGAGTTGCTTGATCCTGTAGAGTATTGCCCCCTACAGCTGTGGCTGTTGAGTACCACCTATTCCACTCAGCATTTTCTGTATTGTTGCCTTGTGGTTAGAGTTAGTTTACATCATGCCTTCCTGTAACAGCTCGTTTTCCCCCCTTTCATTTAGTTTTTATGATCTATTAGGAACATACAAAGACAATATCTTAGATTTTTTTTTTACATATGTAAAGCAAGAGTAAATAGATTCATCCATGCTGCAACATGGGTGAACCTCAAAAAAAAAAATCACTAAGTGATAGAAGCCAGAAGCAAAAAGTCACATACTGGGCTGGCTGGGTGGCTCACTTGGTTAAGAACTCGCTCAAGAGGTGAGCTCTGAGCAACAGCGGTTTGATTCCCAGCCCAAGCTGAGCTGCTGCTGAGCTGCCAACAGGTGGCAGGAAAGCTCAGCTAAAAAAAAAACCAAAAAAACCCAACAACCCACATATTGTATGATTCCATTTATGTGAAATGTCCAGCAAAGGCAAAATCTCTACAGAAAGAAAGCAGATTAGTGGTTGCCTGAGGCTAGGAATAGAATGGGGAGCAACTACAAGTGGGAATGAAGTTTCTTTTCAGAGTAATGGAAATATTCTAAAATGGGATTATAGTGATGGTTACACAACTCTGAAAATTTACTAAAAATATTGAATTGTACACTTAAAATGGTAAATTTTACTATATGAATTATATCCCAATAAAGCTGTTTTAAAAAAAGGAATAAATGAGTTCAGAGCTTATTTTGGAGGAGTTCTCTTTATAAGCATAATTGTAGACTAATATAGTTGGTGCTGTTTTTGGTTCTGCATAATATTTTAGATAAATCAAATGGAATGCTAGACAAAGTAATATACTATATCCTGAATCTTATTCATTGGGTAAGACAGAGCACTGAAAGGTAATTACCCCCTGCCCCCACCCCCAGGAATTCATTAGGAATTAGAGTTTTTGTGGCTAGGAATCATGGTGCTAAGTACTGTAATCAAAGTTTAAAAGATAGTGATTCATATACATGTTGATTTGTTGTGATTTTTAGATATCAAAATCTTGATATCCATCCCTCTCTCCCTCTCTCCACCCGCCTCCCCCCCACACACACAGCCCAGTCCTCAAAATTAGAAAAGGTGTCAGTTTTTTCCCTAATCCCATCTATTCTGCTATTGTGTTTTTGTTTTATATGCTCTCTCAGCACACTGGAGTGCCATGGCTTATGAATGAGAAAACATCCTTGGGCTTTAGGCTATTTATGTGTTCCTTTTGATTTTTCAGCACTTTCATCTGGACCCTTGGATGCCCACTGACAGATGCTTGAGACCTGCAAGTAATCTTCAGATCATAGCAGAACTGTAAGGCCTATCCTTTGTGTGGGGAGGAGATAGTCCATGTGCTGTGGAAATGAACGGGGAGCAGCAGCTTGATGCAGGTACTGGTTTTTGTGAGCGGAATTCATTGTTCAGACTGCAGAATTATATTACCTACCTGTGTTACTTTGTCTGAGTTATCTTTCTAACACTACATGGGAAGCTCTTTGAAAATATGAGTTATCTTTCTCTGTACCTGGCAGACAACCTGACACTAGGGTGTACTCATAATGTTTGCTGAAAAAGTAAATAACTTTATCAAAACTTCTTTTTTTAAAAACAAAAGTTTAATTTGGATAATTACTATTGAAATAATAGATTTATAGGAAGTTGCAAAGATAGTACTGACAGGTTCCAGTAACTTCCACCAGTTACTACCATTAGTTACACCTCATGTAAATATAGTACAATATAAAAGCTAATTGACATGTATAAAGTATTTGTTGTATGTAATTTTATCACATGTGTAGATAACTAACCACCACCTCAGTAAAGATACAGAACTATTCCCTAAAGATGTCCACTGCACTACCCCTTCAT